CTACATCTGTGCAGGAGTTCTAGGTTATCTCCACGAATACTCCTTGGTTGGAGTATGAGTCTTTGGGAAGTTCCTTGTGTTCAAATTATCTTGTTCTGTTGCTCTGCTTGTGGAGTTCCTGTCCCCTCCAGCTCTTACTATTCCCACTTCTTAGATAAAATTCCATTCACTCTGCCCATCAGTTGGCCATCAGGCTCAGCATCTGCTTTGACAGTCTATACTGCAGAAGCTTTCAGAGGCCCTCTGTAGCAGGTTCCGAGGTTGTTTCCTAGTTTCTTTTTCTTCTGATGTCCATCCTCTTTGCCTTTCAGGATGGGGATTGAACATGTTAGTTAGGGTCCTCTCTTTTGCTTAGTTTGTTTAGATGTACTGATTTTAGTGGGTTTATTCTATGTTGTATGTTTATATGAGTGAGTATATACCATGCGTGTCTTTTTGCTTCTGGGACAACTCACTCAGGATGATCCTTTCCAGGTCCCACCATTTACCTGCAAATTTCCTTATTTCCTTATTTTTCATTGCAGAGTAATACTCCATTGTATAGATGTACCACAGTTTCTGCATCCATTCTTCAGTTGAGGGGCATCTGGGTTGTTTCCAGCTTCTGGCTATTACAAACAAAGCTGCTACAAACATGGTTGAGCAAATGTCCTTTTTGTGTAATTGAGCCTCTTTTGGTATATGCCTAGGAGTGGTATGGCTGGATCTTGAGGAAGCGCTATTCCTAGTTGTCTGAGAAAGCGCCAGATTGATTTCCAGAGTGGTTGTACCAGTTTACATTCCCACCAGCAGTGGAGAAGGGTTCCCCTTTCTCCACAACCTCTCCAGCATGTGTTGTCCCTTGAGTTTTTCATCTTGGCCATTCTGATGGGTGTAAGGTGAAATCTCAGGGTTGTTTTGATTTGCATTTCCCTAATGGCTAATGAGGTTGAGCATTTCTTTAAGTGCTTCTCTGCTATTCGATATTCCTCTACAGAGAATTCTCTCTTTAGCTCTGTTCCCCATTTTTTAAGTGGATTACTTGGTTTGTTGCTTTTCAGCTTGTTTAGTTCTTTATATATATTGGATATGAATTTTTAAAAAAATTAAAAATTTATTTTTAAAAAAATGTTTGTATGTGGCTATTTTACCTGCATCTGTTCCTACACAGCATGTGTGTGCCTGGAACCTGCAAAGGCCAGAAGAGGGCATCAGATCCCTGGAACTGTAGTTACAGTGTGTTTTCTAGAAGAGTAGTCAGGGCCCTTAACTACCCCTCTCTACAAACCCCACTTCCTAAATTTTAAATTCTTTATACAACCAATGTTTCACTGATATGCCCTTTGATTACTATACCTCGTCCTAAAATCTCAGCTGTCTCACCCAAACTGCTGACTTATTTTGTAAATTGAGGTGAAGCAAGATTTTCTTTAAATACAGTACCCTGTGGGTATGCAACATTCAGGTGGTTCTGACAGCATATAGACAAACCTATGCAAACCCAAACAGAAGACACGCTGGCAAAGAAAATGAAGTCAAGCAAACAATCCCACTAAATTCATGGAGTTCTGTGCAATTGTTAGCTTCTAGAAAATAAAGAGCCAGTTTTCTTTAAGACTATAGCCCCTGGTAATGTCACCACTATCCAGTAAAAACATCACATTTAAGAATGTTTTGATAGCACAGACTCATCTTGAAGGAGTGAAAAGAAAATATGACACAAAGTTGAATGGGTAGGGAAGGAGTGTGAATTGGGGTAGATGATATGGGGCAGGGAGGTGAGTATGATCAAAATATGTTGTATGAAACTCTCAGCAAACTAAAAAAAAAAAAAAGCATCTTGCAAGACATGAAATGGTTGGAACAGAGTATAATTAGTGAATTTTCTAAAAGTAGTTCCACACTAATTCTAACTTAATCTCTTCTTTGTTTCCCCAGCATCAACCTGACACATGCACAAGTGTGCTTCACATTGCTTCAAGTCAATCAAGAAGCACATGTTTTATGCCCACTATAGCTGAAGGACTGTAGCAAGGTGCTCTGTTTGTGTAGCAGATATTGAACCTCTTTTGATTTCTGTAGCATGTAAGACCTCAATGGTAATTAAAAATGTGTTGATATCCGTTAAAATGAAAACCACAAACTAGTGCCAATTAAAAAAATTCTCAAGTCCTAATTCCAGATAGTTCACTGACACAAGAAAATTAAATGACTTAAGCAGCTCCACATGGCATGAATGCTGACAATTACAAATGCAATGGAATACTAGAGATGTCCACATCTGAGCCGAGTCATCACTATCACTATGGAAACCATCCCCCACCTACTTAGGAAGAAACAGCAGCTGTTCAACAGCCAGCCACCAAGAAAAATGCAAATGAGTCGGAAGCAGAAAAACCTCAAGATTCACTTAAAGTCATTAAAGGGATGAAATTTGGGGTAAAGAAATAAGATTAAGTGGTGATTTAGAAAATTAGGCTATATTAGCCTCCTGTGCATCTGGAAGATTGCTGCAAGGTAGAGGTGCGAGGTGGTCAGAGATTTCCATCAAACATTCCAGTACATCACCATGTTGGGATAATAACCGAGGGAATTTTGCAAAGTTAAATTTCAAGGAGAAAATTAGTTTTTGAGAAAGGAACTGGGGAAATATGGGGATTCATTTAGAAGAGAGAGAGACAGAGACAGAGAGAAAAAGAAGAAAAAAAAAGTTAAACTATGTCATTCATACCACACAAAAAAAAAAAACTGAAAAGAAGAGGAGGCTGTTGCATGGATGAAATATGAAATGTTGATTACATTATGTTTCTTTTATGTGAGCTTTTTTGGGTACATCTTTCTACAAAGGTGTCATTTATCTGTAATAGTGATCCTGATTTGAAAGCATTGGGTACATTTTCAGCTAAATCAAATCATTTGGACTGTATCAAGACAGAGAGCTTCTGAGGGCTGTACTTGCATGGAAAGCTCAGAAATGAATTGGGAAGAAGAGCATGAAGACTGTACTTAAGTACTAGACATTGAGAATACCTTTTTAGCCCATTCAAGACCATATGCTACAATTTCGAGGTGAGGAATCTTTCAGCATGATGTACTCCTTCCAAGGAAGAGATGAAAGGTCAAACTCCCACAAGAACAGAAAAACACATATAACCTGAGGATAAGACTGCAGAGAGACAGGAGAGAAATAGAGGGATGGGGAATGAGGGGGGGGGAGGAGGAGAACAATTAAAAACCAGAAACCCATATAAAAAAAATAGGAAACATTTCTAGAAAGCTCACACAGTTTATTTTCCTTCCCATCCCATGTCCCTGCATTCCTGTTCTCAATTATAATGCAACCTCCCTTATTGTTTAAGGTGGTTCTAAAATAGCAATATTTCTAGTACTATAAACCTAAGTCGCAACATTTCTATTCATGTTTTTATTCTGTCTTTGCATTTGCAGAATTTTGCATTTTCTTGAGGTATCCATAAAAACTATGTACAACTAATATATAAAATGTGATTAATCTGGTGTACATAATTCTCAGACCCTACCATAATCACAAACACCACGTGCAATCAACATGCCCATGTTCTCCCTCTATCTACATTTTTTATAGACATTGGCTTTTTTGGTTTTGTTCATTTTTGTTTGTCTGTTAAAGTCGTTAACATAACATAAAGTCTCTCTTGAAAAAAAAATTTGAGTCAGGGTTTCTTTTTGTAGCCTTGGCTGTCCTGGACTTATTTGTAGACTATGATGGCTTCAAACTCACAATGATCCACCTGCCTCTGCCTCCCTAAGTGCTGGGATTAAAGGCCTGTGCTACCATGGCCTGTGCTCCTTGACAATTTCTTTTTTTTTTTTAATTTCAGTTTTTTACTTTACAATCTAAGGGTGCCCCCTCCTACCTCTCCTCCCATTCCTCCCCCATTTTCCCTCCTTCTCCCTTCCCTTTCTTTTTTCCCCCAAGAAAAGGGGAGTCCATCCCCTTCCGCTCCCTGGAATCAACCCTTCCCAGCACATCAAGGCACAACAGGACTGAGCATATCCTCATCCCGAGGCCAACAAGGGGAACACTGGCAGGGGAAATTTATCCAAAAGCTGGCAAGAGAGTCCGTGTTAGGAACAGCTTCCCCTGTCCACTCGCCAGGTGCCTCATACGAAGACCAAAGCACCCTTCAGCCATGCACTCCCTCTGCCAACATTTTTTGTAAACATTAGTTTATTGATTTTGTTCATTTTTTGTTGTTGTCGTTTTTTAAAGCCTTTAACACAACACAAAGTCTCTCCCTAGTTTATGTCCCAGTCTCTGTAAGGCCCCATGTGTCTGAGTTAGTTGTCTCTGCTGGTCTTTCTGGGAGGTTCTCCCAACACTTCCACTGAACCCACACTTCTCTGCCCCATGCTTGGCTGCAAGTCCCAGCATCCACTGCTTGCTGGAGCCTCCGAGAGGACAGTCAAGTTAGACTCCTCTCTGCAAGCACAGCAGAGCATCATCAATAGTATCAGGCGTTGGCTCTCTAATGTGGGATGGGTCTCAGGTTGGACCAATCATTGGTTGGAATTCCCTGAATCTTTGTTTCCCCTTCATCCCTGCACTTCCTGTAGGCAGGGTAATTTTTGAACAAGAAGGGAAACTGATAAGTGAGGGGGCAACTCTGTTAAGCTGGAGGCCTGCTGCAAGATGGGCTCTAGGGAAGACATGGGTGTGACTCTAGTTAAGACTCCTAATGGAGGAGAGGAACACACATGAAGATTGGGTGACGACCTCCTCACCAGGAAGGACTAGTGGAGGGAGGGGAAACCCCCCCCCATGAAACTTTTGATCCAAAAATAATCCTGTTTGACAAATTATTTTTTTAATTTTTATTTATTTATTAACTTTTACAATTTATTCACTTTGTGTCCCAGTTTCAGCTCCCTCCATCATTTCCTCCCAGTCACACCCTGCCTCCCTCTTCACCCCCTATGCCCCTCCCCTAGATCACTGACAAGGGAGGTCCTCTTCCCCTACTATCTGACCCTAGCCTATCAGGTCTCCTCAGTATTTGCTGCATCTTCTTCTTCTGTGGCCTGGCAAAGCTGCATACCTCCCTCCCCACCAAGGGGAAGGTGATCAAAGAGCTGGCCACTGAGTCCATGTCAGAGATAGCCCTGCTCTCCTTACTGGGGAACCTACTTGAAGACACAGTTGCCTATGGGCTACATCTGAGCAGGGGGTCTGGGTCCTCTGCATGCATGGTTCTTGGTTGGAGCATCAGTCTCTGCAGGCCCCCCTGGGCCCCCCTGGGCCCCAAATTTTTTGGCTGTGTTGGTCTCCTTGTGGAGCTCCTGCCCCTTCAGGTCTTTCTATTTCCCCGTTTTTCCATAAGATTCCTTGAACTCTGCCCAAAGCTTGGCTATGAATCTCAGCATCTGCTTTGATACCTTGCTGGTGGAGTCTATCAGAGGCCATTTGTGGTAAGCACCTCTCCTCTTCCCAGTCTTCTCCAACTTCTAGTATTGAATGACAAAGAAACACTCAAAAAATGCTCCATATCATTAGTCATCAGGGAAATGCAAATCAAAATGACTCTGAGATTTCACCTTATACACATCAGAATGGCTAAAATAAAAAACTCAAGTGACAACACAGGCTGGAAAGGATGTAAAGAAAGGGGAACCCGCCTCCATTGCTGGTACAAATGTAAATTTGTGCAACCACTTTGGAAATTAATCTGGCACTTTCTCAGAAAATTAGGAATAGTGCTACCTCAAGATCCAGCTATACCTCTCCTAGGCCTATATCCAAAAGATGTTCAACCATACAAGAACATTTGTTCAACTATAATCTTAGCAGCTTTATTTGTAATAGCCAGAATCTGGAAATAGCCTAGATGTCCCTTGATTGAAGAATGGACACATAAATTGTCCTATATTTACACAAGAAAATACTACTCAGTAATTAAAAACAATGAAATTATGAAATTTGCAGATAAATGGATGGAACTAGAAAAGATCATTCTGTGTGCAGTAACCCAAAAACAGAAAGATATACATGGTATATACTCACTTGTAAGTGGATATTAGCCATATAATATAGGATTAACATACTAAAATCTAGACCCTAAAGAAGCTAAACAAGGAGGGCCCTGGGGAAGAAGGTTAATGCTCATTCAGAAGGGCTTGACAAATTCTTTTTCTTATTTTATTTTTATATTAATTACAGTTTATTAGTTTGTATCCCAGCTGTAGCTCCCTCCCTCATTCCCTCCCAATCCCACCCTCTCTCATCTCCTCCCATGCCCCTCTCCAAATCTATTGATAGGGGAGGTCCTCTGCCCCCTCCATCTGATCCTAGATTATCAGGTGTCATTGGGACTAGTTGCATTGTCCTCCTCTGTGGCCTGTCAAGGCTATTCCTCCCTTAGGTGGAGGTGATCAAAGAGCCAGCTACTGAGTTCATGTCAGAGACAGACCCTGTTCTCATTACTAGGGATCCCACTTGGATGCTGAGCTGCCATGGGCTACATCTGTGCATGGGTTCTATGGGTTATCTCCATGCATGGTCCTTGGTTGGAGTATCACTTTCGGAAAAGACCCCTGTGCCCAGATTTCTTGGATCTGTTGTTTTCCTTGTGGATCTCCTGTCCCCTCCAGGTCTTTCTATCACCCCCTTTTTTCATAAGATTCCCTGCAATCTGCCCAAAGTTTGGTTATGAGCCTCAGCATCTGCTTTGATACCCTGCTGAGTAGAGTCTTTCAGAGGCCCTCTGTGGTAGGCTCCTGTCCTATTTCCTGTTTTCTCTCTCTTCCCATGTCCATCCCATTTGCCTTTCTGAAAGCAGATTGAGCATCTTACCCAGGGTTCTCCTTCCTGATTAGCTTCTTAAGGTGAACAGATTTTAGTATGTTTATCCTATATTATATGTCTAATATCAACTTAATAAGTGAGTATATACCATGTGTCTTTCTGCTTCTGGGATACCTAACTAAGGATGATCTTTTCTAGATTCCACCATTGCCTGCAAATTTCATGATTTCCATTTTGAGCTATTGCTTATGAATTCAAAGCACTAGATTTTTCCAGCAGATCTCTGCCACCCACACACCTTGTATAACTAAATTCTTAAAGATGGCAAAAATTATTATAGTCCTGGACCTTTAACTCAATGGATGGAGTCAAATTATTCTCCAGATAAATATATTCTCAAGTGCTGTGATGGCTAAATGAAGAGGTGAGTAACTGGGGAAAAACTCAAAATCTTAGAATATGGAAAAGTTTTGTAATCAAAATGAAGGGAGAAAAAATGTGATCTTATATGTCTATATGAGTGAGTATATACTCACTCATATAGACATATAATATGGGATAAACCTACTAAAATCTGTACACCTAAAGAAACTAATCAAGAGGGAGGACTCTTGCTAAAATGCTCAATTCTTATCTAGAAAGGCAAAGAGGATGGACATCAGAAGAAGGAGAAAAGAGGGAACAAGTCAGGAGCCTGACACAGAGGACCTCTGAAATGCTCTGCCCTTCAGACTATCAATGCAGATGATGAGACTTATGGGCAACCTTTGGGCAGAGTTCAGGGAATCTTATGAAAGAAGTGGTAAACAGTAAGATCTGGAGAGGACAGGAACTCCACAAGGAGAGCAACAGAACCAGAAAATCTGAGCACAGGGGTCTTTCCTGAGACTGATACTCCAACCAAGGACTACGCATGGAGATAAACCAAGACCCCTGCACAGATGTATCACGTAGCAGGTCAGTATCCAAGTGGGTTCCATTGTAATAGGAACATGGACTGTCTCTGACATGAACTGATTGACCTGCTCTTTAATTACCTCCTCCTGAGGGGGAAGCAGCATTACCAGGCCACAGAAGAAGACACTGCAGCCACTCCTGATGAGACCTAATTGACTAGGATCAGAAGGAAGGAAAAGAAGACCTCCCCTATCAGTGGACTTGGGGAGGGGCATGCATGCAGAGGGTGGAGGAAGGGAGAGATTGGATGGGAGAAGGGAGGAAACCACAGGGGGGATACAAAGTGAAATTAATAAAGAATTAAAAAAAATAAAATAAATAAAAAATGCAATCTACAGACATTCAAAGACATGCAAACTCCTCAACAACATAAACAATGTGTTTCCATTAATTTTCACAATATTTTGGCAGAAATAACCTCAGGTATCCTTGTGGCTGCCCCAGCCATTAACTCACAATGGCTCTGGATAAAGACCATCTTGTCATTTTCTTTATTATCATCATTATTTTTTTATAATTTACTTATTGCATATCTCCACTGAAGCCCCCTTCCTCAACTCTTCCCAGTTCCACAGTCCCTCCCTCTTTACCCCTATTCCCTTCCCCTAGTCATCTTCAGTCTTCCATTGCTGAAATTCTGTGCTACTTTTGAGTGTAAAATTGGAGTATTTGCTTGAGCCATGAATACTTCCAAATCTTATACCATATTCTCAAACTGGTACAAATGTTTCACCATGGTACCCTAGCAACTTCTTTGCTTCAGGAATTATTCTCTAGATTGAAGTAAGTACTCTCTATTTTTCTCTCTGTCTTTCCACCACCATGTTTAAATGCTGACTCACTCAGAGCTAAATGCCAGGATATCTTGTATCTTGCAAGCTTTACTGACTCAAGATTTTTCTCCTCGGTTGAAGCACAGAACCTGCTAGCTGCTTGAATATGTAGGAAGATAAAATATTAAATCATGGAGTAACAATAATCTATCATATTATTTCTAGCTTATCTTTCCGTAGGTTTTCTCATTATTTTTCTTGAGTTGAACCTCAAATTCTATGAGATACAAAATTCAAATTTGAAGGATGCTTACCGAAATATCTGTATGAAGCTTAAAATCTCTAGGTGAGAGTTCTTTAGGACCTAATACAGAAAAATTGGAAAAGCTTTACAATTACAGATGGGTTTTAAGACAGTTATATCTCTGAATCATGTTTTTTAATTCACTACATATCAATAGTGATACCCAATACCACAGAAAGTTCTTTAACCTGAATCCCATTAGCCATTTGACTTGTGCAAGAATGTGAACAGTGTTCCAACAGAAAGCATCTATGCCTCAAGATATCATAAATCCATGATACGGTACAATAAAGCTTTTAAAGTAGATATTTAAAAGAAAAATGCTGATTTCCTTATAAAATATTAACACTGCTACTCAAATTAAGTCACTAGATAGGAATTCAAATTACCCAAAGTTATTGTTCTTTTTAGATCAATAATTTCACAGTCAGAAAGAAAAATAGCCAGGGTGATAAACGACAGCTGAGACTTGATTGCCATGTTCCTCAGCATCTTTCCATCTCTCTAAGAAGTCTTGCCTTGGTAGGAGATCTTGAGCAAAAGCAAAAGAGAGGCAGGAATAGGGCAGAAAAACACTGTACGCTTAATTACAAATGGGAACAGGAGAGAAACATCTTAATGTATGGCCTGGGGAAGAATTGACACTCGCTTTTCTTTCAAAACACACATCCCTCTCACATTTACCTTCTTGAGCTCTTTATGATTATTTTTCTATCTTTTTATCACTTTCTGTGGGCACAATAACTGGCTTAAGATAAAAGTAGTTTGTGACTCATATATTATTACAAACATTATGAAGATGCTAATATAATTGTTAATAATACCCATTCTATATAAAGACAAATTTTTACTTTTTCCATTTAACAAGTGATGCATACTGTTTCATTTACTTTAAATTAATTATGTAATAAAAGCATGAGTTGTCAACAAATAAATTCAAGAATGACACATACTGTTTTTGTTTGGAGAACTAATGGATTTTAAAATGTGAATTAAAATTTAGCTGTGCCTCATCATTGCACACATAACAGAAGAACAACCTTGTGGTGATTGAATTTGGAACCCAGGAAACTACATCTCAGAAAAACAACTGTTTTAGTTTTAATGTGTTCATAATTTTATTTTTCCACCTTATTAAAAGTAAATGTTGCAGGTTGCTATTGCCAGACAATTGCATTTTTAAGGTTATGTATGGGGCCACTGTTTATTCCATTGTATCAAAAGCCAAATTTCATTCAGTTATCACTGTGTTTTTAACTACCAAGTATATCATGACAAAAAGTCTGACTGATTTCAGACACATACAATGTCCCTGGAAGGAAAGGCACAGTTTTATAAAGCAAGACATTTAAAATACACAAAGCAAAAATTCTAATTAAGTACCTCCCAATCTCTGTGAGACTTTCTCAAATCTTGATAAAATGATTGCATTTCTAGAGGTAAAATACTAAGATCGTTCTAAGGTAGAAAAAAATTAAACAACAGTGACAGATAAAAGGGTGTCCTCAATGCCTGTGAAAGCACCAGCAGCCTGATGATGGTTAGCAACAATGAAATGGGTCAAGGAGAAGTTATAGGTAGGCTAGAAGCAAACATATGTAAATACACATGTGCTGGGCATTAAAGTTGATGTATGATTGCAATTAAGTAGATAAGTCAAGTTGGCTAATCGACTGTAAAAGCAATAAATTATATCCTACTTAATCCTGGAAATATATATACCATAAAGAGTCAAAATCTGAATAAACATTTTAAAAGGAAAACAATTAAGAAAATAGAAGCAGTATATACTGTTGTAAGTGGTGATTAATATTTACTATTGATATATCTTTTAGTAAATCTGCTGTTAGTCCTAAACAGCTATATAACCAAATCACCACACAGAAACTATTATTTATTTAGTTAACTTAGAACACAATGCTGGGCAATTGTGTTCTAATCCTAATCCTCCAAGACGTCATAGTTTCCTAACATTTAGATTCACCCATTATACTTGATTTTTGTGAAATCTTAGTTCCAGTCCATCTCTCTATGGCCTTCCAAGACCTCTCACCTGCTAGGCTCTCTTCCCCCTCTGTTTTTTGGCTCCTCCCTCTCTTCCTGCTTCCTTTCCCTTGCTCAACATTGTGGCTAGTTGCTTTATTTTGGCATGTTTACACAAAATTGCAACAGGTGATGCTTAGAATAAATATCACAATGCAATGTCCAGATTGAAACCGGGGGGGGGGGG